GGGGAGGGAGGGGGGAGGCCGGGGAAGGGGAGGGAGAAGGAAGAGATTAAATTACTGGAGCCAGAGGCAAACATTCTCAAGATCAGCAGATGTATCACTCAAATGGAGTATTTGAGTCTTTGAGTCCTGTTGACTCTGGGGATAGAGAGACAAGTAGGTCTGAGACCATCCCGAACTGATTCATTTGCAAAAGCAAGATTGCACTTTAGAAGCACTGCCAAACAACTGACTTCTGTATCACCCACTTGGCTTCTCTTCTTCCGTGAGATGTCAGAGTCCTTACAAATGGCTGGAGCAGACAGAAACTGGAAATCCATTGTTCCCATAAGGAGAGTGAAGTCAAAAAATCCAAGGGTAAAGGCAAGAAGAACTGGAAGCCCTGGCATCCAGCAATTGGAAAGATTCTGAAGATAAGATTTCTAGCCAGTTTCAGAAGCCCTCCTTGTTCCTTTTCATGCCTCTTTCCCCCCAAAATGCTCATGGCTGGACAGCCACAGGCCTTTGGTCTCATCAGGGTTTCTGAGCCAACTCTGACAGAGGCCAAGGTGGAGGAGAGAATAGATAGCTTACTTCAGATGTTAGAAAAAAAAGCCTAAAATGTTTTAGTGTTTGACACATCCCAGGCCCCAAAGTAAGGTATCCAAGGCAGATGTGACTGTTGAAGGGGAGGGATTTCTTAGCTCCTTTCTTCAGCCGTGTACTGGGCACCAGCCCTGCCGTCTTCTTCAGACCCAGGCCTCATTACAAGGAGAGTGAAAGCTGCCAAGTGTTAAAACTAGAATGCCCTGAGCTCTGATCCTGTCTCAGGTGCCGACTGCAGGCAGGTCACTTCAGAAGGTGACTTCTCCTCTCTGAGTCTCAGTGCAGTGCTCTATCATAAAGAACAGGTGAAGGGAAGAATACATAGAACAGCATCTACGGAGCACTTGGCTCAGGCCCCAGTAAGGGGTGACCAGTAAATGACCCCATTCTTCCCTTATGGCCTTTCTATCAGGTCCTTCTGTCACCAGAAAAGAAGCTGTCAGATACAAGTTTGCATAAAAAGCCTCTGGACCACTGCTGGTCAAAGTGACCTCTACTGGTCTGACTTAGAGACCTGGGGAGGGCCCAGAATCTGGTCCTCAGTGGCCCTACAGCCAGAAGATGAGCAGAAGTCAGAGGGAGCCATGTGCAACCCTAAGAAATGCACTGGGTTCTAAGTTGTCTTTGTTGACTCAGGAATTCCTCTCTTGCTCTCCCACTCTCCAGGCTGCACTACCTCCTCCAGCTTGTGCAGGGCTGGGAATTAATGCCCCCTATAGCTTGGACCAGATCAGCCCCTATTTACTAAGCAGAATGGAATAGTGGGAAAAACAGGTCGCAGGGGGAGGCCAAGCATCCTAAATCAGTGCCTTTCTGGTCTCTTCACTGTTGAAGCCCCAGCCCAGGCCTCAACTACTAACCTAACAATGGGAGCCCCAGTCTTAGTTCGCCTCTAGCAGACAGTTCCTCTCAGTGTCCAACACATCTGAGGGTTTCCCAGGCTCATGCTGCCCCCTAGAGGTCATCCGTTGAAACTTTTGTTCCTGAGCCGGCCAATGCTGCGAAGAAGCTGGGAAAAATGAAGCCATGGGTACCCAGAGCCCTGCTACAACCTCCTGTCTGAATGGCGACAGAGTACAGAGGAAAAGATCTACACATTGGAGTGATTCAGCTGCTCCTCTTGACTTCTCTATTGTACAATTGGAATCACGATGCCAGCCACACAGAGCCTTTGAGAAACTAAAATTACATAACCATCAGAACATAATTACAATTATTCTAGCTAGGTGTGGAGAGCTTATTATGAGCACAGCACTGTGCTTTACACATATCAACTCATTACACCCTCTCTAAAGACAAACTTCTGAAGGAGGCTCTATTAGTATTCCCACTTTACAAAGGAGAAAAATAAGATTCACAGAGAGGCTGCGATTTGCCCAAAGACACACTCTTCAAGGGCACAGCCAGGTTATCAGCCCAGGCATATGGGACACCAGAGCCCGGTCCTTCACCTACCACCAGTTCCTGCTTCCTGATAAATTCAATTTACTCTCTATCATCACCTCTGCATTATCTTTCCCCTGCCTCTCTCCCCCGACACTTCTCCTCCATCTTTTCTTGGTTTTCTGTTGTCTTCCTTTGACTTGCATGTCAGCTTCCCCAAGTCACTCCCAGCACCATGGTCCCAGCAGAGAGGAAACTCATGTCTGTGCACAGAGGGAGAACACTTCTGCTCAATAAGGACAGTGACAACACACTCTGGACCTGGATCCTGGTGCAAAAGATGCCTAGAGCCACATCCAAGCCTCCGACTTGCACAGATGTTGATGATGCAGCAACAAACTATTTTAGGTTTATGGCCAAGGGGTTCCAGGAGCATCGCTGGGCCAGTAGGATGGTGGCTAACAATTATAAAGCACTGACTACCAGGCACTGGACAGTGCCTGCTCTCACTGAATCAAGCAATAACAGTGAGGTTGTTCGTACAAGACCCTTTGATAGGCAAGAAGCCTGTGCAACTGGTGAATAAAGATAACTGCAGAGCTAATTAGGATCTTATAATGCAAGGAGGTTAGGGGAAGAACAGTAAGTATAATCCTGGGTTCCACTGGAAACCAAAAAAGTGCACAAATTCCAAAATGGGAGTTAGAAGTTGGGTCTTACTGAGTGAAGGTACCACAGGGTCTTAATCGAGGGTTTACTAGGAATGTGAATCTCGCAAAATTCTACTGAAATTTGTCCTTGGTTCTACAGGAGATAATAGGAAAAGAACATGGCATTGTGCTAATTTAAAATGGTAGCTATGAAATGTCTTCCCTGACTCTTCCCAGTACTCTTTACTTTGAACCTGGGACACAAGGAACAGGTGACTTGGAAATAGCCTGAGTTCTTCATTTCCCTGTTTCCGGCAGCAGTCCCTATTCTGCCCTGTGGTATGCTGTAATGTGAAAATCTCTAACCTGGGAATTGGAAGTTTGGGTAATAGTTCCAGCTTCCTGGACTGCCACTGTTTCCTGGGAAGATGACAAGGTCTTGGAACCTCCAACTGCTCACTGTTAAAGTCAAGGAGTTGAACTTGGTCATAATTTTCTGGAATCTTGACACTCTTGGCTTTATCTCTAGTAAAGATGAAGCTATTGCCTTCTCTTCCTGGCCATACAGAATTCAAGTGTACAGGAATTATCATTGTGTCACAGTGGGAAGGACCAATGGTTCTAGCCCTAACTTGGCCATTTACCAATTGAGGACACACCAAGCCACATGGGATGAGCCCATTTTCCATCTTACTACCTCTATCACAGAGCTACTGGGGGTGACATCTATCTATCTATCTATCTATCTATCTATCTATCTATCTATGAAGCATTTAACACACAGTAGGCACTCAGAAATCCTCTGTTGCCAGAATGACAGGGCCCATGTGGAGGTGGATTTAACTAAATTACGGGCTTAAAAAATGGAATAGTTGGGCCAGAGATTTAGCTCAGTGGTGCCGCCACCTGCCTTGCCTTGAGTTTGAGTTTGATCCTTGGTACCAAAAAAAAAAAAAAAAAAAGGAATACTTCCTGCTCCAAAGTGACTTGGACACATTTATGCCTATCAAAGATCAGCTCCCAGCAAAGGACATGCTTCACAGCACCAGTTAGTGCACCTGGAAATCAGGAGCTGTATTATTTTCCCTGATGGTTTTGGAAATAGCTAGAGTTAAATCTATTGATGCCAAAACACTGGCTTGTTCCAGAAACTAGAGCTGACTTCCTTTACTCAGGAAGAGACTTTTAAGAGAAACTGCTTGTTCTCTTTAAAAACACCCTACTTTTTCCCAAGTTGGAGATTCAGATAGGCCCTTCTTCTAGTGTTCCAGAACTGCAGATTCTGAGGGTCTAAAATAAAAGGCATCTTGGAGGACACTAGCTCAACCCTCATCTGATAGGAAAGAAATCAAAGGTCTACACGTCTCAGGTAACACAGGCAGTTAATCCAGGGTGGATGAGGTGCAATTAAATGATGGAATTAACTTTCACTGTACAGTCCTGCATTTTCTACTTCACACCGCACTTTCATGCATCTGAGTTCACTTTATGATCTTTGAGATAGATATCAGTGTCTCCATTCAATGGACAAGGAATTCCAAGTTCAAAATGTTAGAGGGGTTTGCCTATCATCATCAGCCACCGGTGCCTCACCGCCAAGGTTGACCCAGGAACTCTCTGTGGCTCTGGGAAGCATCAGTACTTGAGGCAGTCCAGGAAGCTGGAACTGTTACCCAAACTTCCAATTCCCAGGTTAGAGATTTTCACACTACAGCATGCCACAGGGCAGAATAGGGACTGCTGCCGGAAACAGGGAAATGAAGAACTCAGGCTATTTCCAAGTCACCTGTTCCTTGTGTCCCAGGTTCAAAGTAAAGAGTACTGGGAAGAGTCAGGGGAGACATTTCATAACTACCTTGTTAAATTAGCACAATGTCATGTTCTTTTCTTATTATCTCCTGTAGAACCAAGGACAAGTGCTAGAGGAAGGCAAGTATACTTAGGTATCCTGGATCCAGAAGTTTAACTAATGAAGCATGCAATGGAAGCCTATGTACATCAGGATGACTACTAAGTGTGAGTAGAGTGATCCCTTACATGCCCAGAATCAGGGAAGATGGACTATGTCCCTTTCAAAGGCCACCTACTTGCCTAGACCTATGACAAGTACTGGTAATATCGGGAAATGTGGCTCCTGACTCAAGAAGCTGAAGGCTGCCTGAAGAGACAGTGGTAACTCCAATGAACCAATGAGAATGGCACTAGTCAGGTAATTGAAAAAAACCCACTATGGGGCCAAGGATTTAGCTCACTGGTAGCATGACTGCCTGGCAAGTGCAAGGTCCTGAGTTTGATCCCTGGCACACACACACACACACACACACACACACACACAAAAAAAAAAAAAAAAAAAAAAAAACCCAAAAAAACAAACAAAAACAAAAACAACTATGATAACGCACGCCACATGGATGACTCCAAAACATTATGTTGGGTGGCAGAAGCCAGACATAAAGGATACTGACCATATGATTCTATTTATATCAAACCATAGAAAAGACATCCAATCTGTAAGGACAAAAAGCAGATGAGAGGCTTCCTGAAACACAGAATGATTTGGGGAGGTTGGAAGTGTTCCATATGTGATTGTGGTAATAAACTGTATATAAGCTTTTTTTGCATAAATTTGTCAATATTCACTGAAAGGTACACCTAAAATATGTGTGCTTATTATAAATAAATAATACTATAAGAGTTATTATAAAAACAGTGTTTGCTTTTGTGGGACTTTTGGTTTGGTAGAAAATGTAGCTATTAATATAGTCATTGTGTAAATAAATGAAAGATAATTTATTACGGGGACAAGGACTATGAGTGATATTACATGGAGTATAAGGGTATGTAATAAAGACATGGTCAGTTCAGTGGACTGAGAGACCCTTCCCACAGAATTATTAATCTGAGCTTACAGCAATCAGAAAGCACGAATCAGAGAAGATGGCTTGGGCTGAAGGAGCATCATGTGCTACAGACCTGTGGTTGGAGAGAATCTAATGAGGACCATTGAAAAAAAGGCAATGGGACTGGAACAGAAGGTAAGGAGTGGTAGGAGGTGAGTAAAGGTTTCCCATAGAGAGACAATTAGTCTTAGATAAGAGTTCCCATGAGAAATGGGAAGTCTATTGAAGGGGTTTAAGGAGTCTTAGGACGTGAGGTAAAGAGCTTAGTTGGTGGCTTAACACTGTGGAACTAGTAGTCATCTCTCCTTTACTCTGACTTGAAGGTTCCTGCGATTAGAGCCAACTCCTACTAAATTGTGTAGCCCCCAAACAAATTTCAGTAGTACTGAATATAAAATATTGGATGCATAAGAACCACTCTAAATGAGTGAATGAAGAAATGGACAAATGACTAGACTTTTCACAGAATTCAATTACATGCTGTTCCAAAGTCATTTGATAAATGATAAATCTAGACTAATTTTTTTCCCCACACTGAAGCTCTGACAGAAAGGATAGGAGGCTTGACCTCCATATTGACCAACATGGCTCCTACTCCTGAGTATAGAAGAAACTCACTGCCAGGGAACAAATCAGATGCCACCTCTTCCCCTTGCCTCTACTTTCATAATAGGTCCTACAGCTTGTCAGTCAACTTCTGGGGGTTATCCCACTTGCATAGTAGCTAGCCTTATTGTACCAAGTCTGTTCTGTAAACACCTATGATCCAGCCAGTGCCATCTACCAAGCACACCACAGGCACAGGGCGCTCTCATGCTCCCTGCAGCCTCTTCCTGCAGGTGCTTGAAATCACTTCCTTCTCAAGGCCACTGGAACATGCTTGCACTGTCCTTGAAGATTCAGCTCAAGTCCTGGCTCCCCTGGAAAGCCTTCTCTGCCCACCTATCCCCTTAGCCACAACATCATTTCATACCGGCCTTGAACACTGTACTTGTCCCTGATCTGTTTACATATTCTTCTTGCTGTGATAGAAATTCAGCTTAGCATCACTGCACAAGGAATGTCCTGAGTTTGATCCCCCGTACCAGAAAAAAACATATTCATCTTCTGTATTCAAACACACAGCTCTCCTAGGCTCTTATCTGCACTGGCTTTTTTTTTTTCTTTTAATTCTTAAATTTTTATTAGATGTTTGTAGTACATAAAATTGTATTTATCATGTGGAATTAGTACATGCACATAAGACATTTTAATTCTTTTTACTTCCCTCCTCCCCTCTCAATCTCTTGGTTCCTTCCCATTGTGAAAGCTCTATCTCCCTATTTCCTATTATCTTTTATTTTGCTCTTTATATCTTGGGTTTCTCATATAAGAGAAGTGATCCAATATTTAAGCTCGTGTGTCTGATTTATTTCTCTTAATACAGCATTTGCACTCCCAGTGCCTAGAATGAAGAGGAAGTGGGACAGGATGGGTTACAGGTACATTTAGGTCGAGCCCTTAAAACAAAAGATGACTAGAGGGACGGGGGGAAACCACTGACATTAACACTCTTTTCAAGGAGGTAACTTTTCTGAATGACCTGTATATCTCTAAAAGAATTTCCCTATGCTTTTGGTTTTCCTTGTCCCTTTTTCCGATCTCCATTACTTTTTGACTCTGTTTTTTCAGGCTAGCAGTCCTAAGCTGTGTCTCACACCTCTTGGCACTGGTGGCCCAGGTGCTTAGGTTCTTTTAAACACACTTCCCTCTCCTTACCCTTCCTTTTGCTGTCCATCCATGACAGTCTGCCCTCCAACCACAACAAACTAACACATGTGCTTAGGAGCCAAATCCTGTCATGTTGACAGTTAAGGATGAGCTGAGCAATGCTGTGTCACCAGCACAGGCTTCAGAGTGAATCTTCTGCAGCATGAAACGGGGCAACACTGAGGGCAACATCGTGGTGTCCTGCTTGGAGTGAAACATCTTTCCTCCTCTCAGGTTCTTTGAACCGAATTCATTTCACCTCTGATCACTGAATCAAAATTTGGCTTTTTTTTTTTTTTTTTCCTAGCAAGATCATAAAGAAGAAAACAGTGAGGTTTAGAACAAATTTCAGTTTGGTGTGGAGAGTAAATGCAGCATCTACTTTGGGTAGACTCCATGGCTGGGAATTAGACAAAGGTGAGCCCAAATCCCAGAGACATCTGGGAGAGCACGGCTTATGGATAGCTGGCCCCAAACACTGAGACACAGTAATGATAATGTGATTCGTGATGAAGGTAGCCTTGCCCAGCCCTTTATGCACAGGCTTCATGGAACCCTCACGATGACATTATGAGGCAGTTTACATTTACAGAAAAGCAACCTGAGGGTCAGATCCAGCATGATTAAGAAATGCAGGTGAATTTCTTCTCAGGTGAGGTAGCTCTGAAGCTCAATATATTGCTGCTTTTATTATTATTATGCTTAACAGATACACTTCTAGGATTAAGACCTTGCAACTTGAACTATATAATGAAAGCTCTTATCTCCCCAGCTGGATTATGATTTATTTGATTAAAGTGCTTGCATCTCCTTCAGCTTTATATTTCTTACCCCTACTTCTCCAGACCCAAATGACATGCATAGTTTATAGGCTCAGAAAATATTAACCGATTGACATGAAAGGGCTTTTGGTGAGCCTGAGCCTGAAGCTTTGGCTTTTCAGAAACCGACCACTCTTCCTTTCCATCAATTTTTTAAAAATCATCTTAAATAGGAATGCCTGTTATAAAAGTAAATATAGAAAATTCAAAAACTATAGATAGGAAGCAAAAAATTCTGATCCTACCACCCAAAGGTATCATTTTGCTTTATTTTCTTCCACTATGCTCATATTTATGCTCTTGTTCTTGATCTAAAGGACTATTCTTTATAATTTTTTATACTAAAATCGCATGTTTGTACATTGGAAATATGAAAAATGAAAAATAATTCTCGTTACATATAGCTGCCAAGAATTAACTGCTAACATTTTGGCATACTTTTCCTTAAATCTGCACATTCCATTCTGAGGAACTGGAACTGCAGAAAGGATCTGCTCAGTTGTTTCAATCTAGCATTGGGTGTAGAAAAGATAAATTTGTGATTTGTCATACTGGTCACATGAACCCAAAATCATTTAAACATCTCCAAGCTGTTGAGCCTGCAGTTTGTTTCCAATTCATCACATTTCTAAATACCAGTAAAAAAATTTCCTGGAGCCACCACTGCCAAGATTCTCTGGTCATTGGGTCATGCAGGAGTCAAGGTCACCGGAGTATTCTGGGGGATGGATTTACAACTCGGAAATCTGAGTTTCTTCTACCTTCCATGCCATGCCACCCATGCAGCTCAGAGTATCCGATGGATTTGATTCATTGTGGGAGTAGGTTTCTGGCAAAGAAATGACTTTGTAGACACTCCCAAGGACTCTTCCACTGATTTCTCTTGTGGACAGACACACTGGGAAAGAAGGCAAAGAAGCAGAAAAGGAGATTTAAAAGCAGATTTATGCATATGCAAAACATCCCAACACTTCAGAGAAAGCAAAAAAGAACAATCAATAAAAAGTAATGTGCACTCTCTCACTTAAACACACACACACACACACACACAGACACGCACGCACGCACACACCAGATTCCTTATTCCCCTTCCAGAAGGAGTTTGTGTATTCTAATAGAATTATATAATTAACTCTTTGTTTCTCTACCTACATAGTCCCCTCTCTATCCACCTACCCATTCACTTGCCCAATCTTTTTCCTATATATATATAGCTATTTATCCATCCATCTATCCATCCATCCACCTCCGTCCTTCCTTCCATCCATAAAAAACAAAACCAGAGATCTTTAAATGAATAACTATCAAACACATAGCAGTTCAGGGGGTAACTTTAGAGGCAGGATCCTGAGTCCCCGGCCCAACTACTAAACTACTTTGTAGTTGTTGCCGAGATGCCTCGCTGTTCTATGCCTCAGTTTCTTCCTATGTAAAACAAGGCCCATTCTACCAGTGAATGTACCTTGAAGAATGGAGACAGGGAGGCCTACAGAAAGGTCAATGGTACTTTATCCCCCACTCCCAGGCTAGTCTGCTATAAGGGAAAAGCATGAGTATGTTTCCCAGCACAATGAGGGCAGCAGGAAAAAAGGCCAAGGGAATTAAGGTGGGTGAGGAAAGTCCAGCTGCCATAAGCACTATTGGGTCATGAAAAGGACAGAGTAATCTTGCATAAGCATTACCTCACATGTTTTGTGGGACATAAAATGTTTGGTAAACTATTGGAAGAGCTGCCCCACCAGGGAGATCATTCCATGTGACCACTACCAGGGTGGCAGCTCCCTGCTGGGATTGGCTGCAGGGGCCTCCAGCTGGGTTTGCCCAAAATACAGGAACCCACAAGTGGAGCTGGCACTATTTAGTGTAAATAAAGGCAAATGCTATCAGGGTTGAAGGACAAAGAAGTCACACTGAGAGAACCATGGCCTCCTCAGGTCAGGAGTCAATGTCTGTGAGCACCTAGTAGCCCAATCATTCACCCTTTGGGGTTCAGCCCTTTGGAGTGATTTTAGCTCACTTTGCAGGTACCCTCTGGCATTGAGGTTTGCATCTTCACAGGACCTGCATAGAGTGACCCCATGGTGGGTATTTGCATAAAACACCACAGCCAGGATGTACTGGAAGTTGTGAAGTAGGGGAATATGCTGTGGACCTTCAGAAGTGGCCACCATTCACTTGCTAAGCAGAGCCTGGGGATCCTTGGGAGCCCCAGCTGGCCACAAGTTCCCCTGCTCTCCACAATTTACCTTCCTCTCAAAAGCAGCAGGACTCAGGGCCATGCCATGTTGGTACTGGGCACCTTTCCTTATCCGAGCAAATCCTCCCTCCAGCCCTAGACCCTCTGTGGCACAAGGACAGCACCAGCACAAGAACTTTTCACCCCACCCAGCTGGTGCTCCTCTTCCCAGAGAGCAACAATGATCCGCAGGTGCAGTTTAGCTCACCATAAAGAATGTCATTATCAACTCTCAGGGCCTCCTAGGCTGAGAAAATGGATTTGG